CAACACAGTTCAAAAGCATCAGTTCTTCCGTGCTCAGCTTTCCTTATATTCCAACTCTCACATCCATTCACGACTACTAGAAAAACCATAGCTTTGACTAGATAGACCTTTGCTGGTAAAGTAATGTCTCTGCTTTTTAATACACTGTCTAGGTTGGTCATAACTTTTCTTCCAAGGAGAAAGCATCTTTTAATTTCATGGTTGCAGTCACTATCTGCAGTGATTTTGGAACCCCCAAAAATAAAATCTCTCACTGTTTTCATTGTTTCCCCATCTATTTCCCATGAAGTGATGGGACCAGATGCCACAATCTTAGGTTTCTGAAAGTTGAGTTTTAAGCCAGCTTTTTCAGTCTCCTCTTTCACTTTCATCAAGAGGCTCTTTAGTTCTTCTTCACTTTCTTCCATAAGGGCGGTGTCATCTGCGTATCTGAGGTTACTGATATTTCTCCCGGCAATCTTGATTCCAGCTTGTGCTTCATCCAGCCTGGCATTTTGCAGGATGTACTCTGCATATAAGTTAAATAAGGAGGGTGACAATATGCAGCCTTGACATACCCCTTTCCCAATTTGGAATCAGTCCATTGTTCCACGTCCAGTTCTAACTGTTGCTTCTTGACCTGCATACAGATTTCTCAGGAGGCAGGTCAAGTGATCTGGTATTGCCATCTCTTGAAGAATTTTCCACAGTTTGTTGTGATCCACACAGTCAAAGGCTTTGGTATAGTCAATGAAGCAAAAGTAGATGTTTTTCTGGAACTCTTGCTTTTTTGGTGATACAGCAGATGTTGGCAATTTGATCTCTGGTTCCTCTGCCTTTTATAAACCCAGCTTGAACATCTGGAATTTCACTGTTCATGGTTCATGTACTGTTGAAACCTGGCTTGGAGAATTTTAAGCATTACTTTGCTAGCATGTGAGATGAGTGCAACTGTGCAGTACTTTGAACATTCTTTGGCATTGCCCCTTCTTTGGGACTGGAATGAAAACTGACCTTTTCCAGTCCTGTGGCCATTGCTGAGTTTTCCAGATATGCTGGCATATTGAGTGAAGCACTTTCACAACATCATCTTTCATATTTGAAATAGCTCAACTGGAATTCCATCACCTCCACTGGCTTTGTTCATAGTGATGCTTCCTGAGGCCCACTTGACTTCGCATTTCAGGATGTCTGGCTCTAGGTGAGTGATCACACCATTGTGGTTATCTGGGTCATGAAGATCTTTTTTGTATAGTTCTTCTGTGTATTTTTGCCACATCTTCTTAATATCTTCTGCTTCTGTTAGGTCCATGCCATTCCTGTCTTTTATTGTGCCCATCTTTGCATGAAATGTTCCCTTGGTATCTCTAATTTTCTTGAAGAGATCTCTAATCTTTCCCATTCTATTATTTTCTTCTATTTCTTTGCAATGATCACTGAGGAAGCCTTTCTTATCCCTCCTTGCTATTCTTTGGCACTCTGCATTCAAATGGGTATATCTTTCCTTTTCTCCTTTGCCTTAGCTTCGCTTTTTTTCTCAGCTAATTGTAAGGCCTCCTCAGACAACCATTTTGCCTTTTTGCATTTCCTTCTGTATAGTGAGCTCTTTTTAATGAGGCCATGGCTCTATTCAATTAGCATAGATCAGTTCCGTTCAGTTCAGTTGCTCAGTCATGTCCGACTCTTTGCAACCCCACAGACTGCAGCACGCCAGGCTTCCATCATCAACTCCCAGAGTCTACCCAAACTCATGTCCATTGAAGTTGGTGATGCCTTCCAACTATCTCATCCTCTGTCATCCCCTTCTCCTCCCATCTTCAATCTTTCCCTGCATCAGGGTCTTTTCAAATCAGTCAGTTCTTTGCATCAGGTAGCCAAAGTATTGGAGTTTCAGCTTCAGCAGCAGTTCTTCCAATGAATATTCAGAACTGATTCCTTTAGGATGAACTGGTTGGTTCTCCTTGCAGCCCAAGGGACTCTCAAGAGTCTTGTCCAACACCACAGTTCAAAAGCATCAAGTAACTTAGGTCATATGAATGGAAATTTTCCATCAATTTCTAAACAGCACAGATGGTTGTCCCTCCTGTGTTATTCAAAGATCATCCTTCAAAGATCCCATTCCGAAACGGACTTTCCAAATATGGTCCCATTTGCGACTTCCTTGGTAGCCCAGTGGTTAAGAATCTGCCTTCCAGTGCAGGGGACACGGGTTTGATCCTTGGTCTGGGAAGATCCCACATGCTGTGGAGCGACTGAGCCCAAGGGCCACAACAACTGAGCCCACGTTCCTAGAGCCCATGCTTTGCTATATGAGAAGCCACTGCAAAAAGAAGCCCAAGCTACAACGAAGAGTAGCCCCCCTTCATCACAACTAGAGAAAACGTGCAGACAGCAACAAGACCCAACCCAGCCAAAAATAAACAAACAGAGGCCCACCCAGCAGCAGCACTGACACAACACACCACTGAGGCAGAAGCAGTATGTGTGTCTGCCTGCTTCTTGAGCACTTAAATCAACCCCTCTTAATTTTCCTCCCCACTCTGTGTGTACAATCACAGCCTCAGAGGAGGCCAGGCATGGGTCTGTTATGAGGCCCAGTGACTTCTGAATCTGTCGCTGAAGCAAACAAAGAATCCCACAGAAGCTTTAAGTCCTGGCAATCAAACACAAGAGGCCGGAACCTAGGCTTTTTTTTTCACCTACTTCAATTAAAAAAAGCATGGCTGTGACCCCATGGACTATAGCCTGTCAAGCTCCTCTGTCCATGGAATTGTCCAGGCAAGAATACTAGAATAGGTAGTCATTCCCTTCTCCAGGAAATCTTCCTGAGCCAGGGATTGAACCAGGGTCTCCTGCACTGCAGGCAAATTCTTTACCATCTGAGCTACTAGGGAAGCCCTCGGAGAAAATAACACGTGCAACCCTAGAAAACAGAAAAACTAGCAAAGCACTCTCTTTTCATGAACGTTACTAAAATAAACTGCCTTGCAAAAACAAGCAGCCAGATAAGCTTTCCACACAATTAACCAGTAGACACCAGCCTATACTGGTGAGAACAATGAATCTAAAGAAACTACTAGCTGCTAATCAAAAATATATTTGGAGTTAAAAAAATTAGTGCTGTATATTTATCATTCTCAGCTTACTATCTGAGTCAATTACAATAGCATAAATAATAAGCATCTGATTTCATGTTATGTATGTGCCTAGCACTTTACAAATATTATTTCTAGTCCACAATACAATACTAACCATGCTAGAAATGTAGAGATCAAACTTTAAAAGATTCTCCTAATATTTACTGAGCATTTACTATGACTCACGGGCTTCCTAGTGGCACTAGTGGTAAAGAACCTGCCTGCTAATGCAGGAGACGCAAGAGACATGAGTTCAATCCCTGGGTCAGGAAGGTCCACTGGAGGAGAAATAGCAACCCACTCCGGTATTCTTGGCTGGAGAATTCCATGAAGGCAGGAGCCTGGTGGGCTACCATCCATAGGGCTGCACAGAGTCGGACATGACTGAAGCGACTGAGCACACACACATGGCTCACAGTGCTAAGTGCTTTGTGTGTGTTCTTTTAGTTACTCTTCACAAAGTTAGAGAATTTATTTCAAGTCAGAAGGCTATGAAGTAGCTGACTGAGGTGCTCACCAAGGTCAGGTGGAGTCCAAGCCTCTGTGCATTCCTTGAACCATCTCTCATTTAACCAGAACATGAAGACATTAAATATTTTAACTATGTGGCATCAAAGGAGTCCAAGTGACTGCCTCTACCTTGCAGACTGCAAGTTCCTCAAAAGCAAGGACTATGGTTGGTTTGCCTTTACATCTCTCATGCCTATCACATCATGATGCCTGACACACAGTACATGCTCAAAAAAGTTTGTCAAACAGAACATTTGAAAAGAGTGACACACCTTGAGGCAAATGCTAAAAGGTCAGCCCACAGACTAAATACCCGCCTCTCACCACCACCAGTATTCTTGCCTGGAGAATTCCATGGACACAGGAGCCTGGCTGGCTACCGTCCATGGGGTCACAAAGAGTCAGACAAGACTGAGCAACTAACACACACTCACCACCACACTGGCAATCCAGCAGAGGGTCAAGCAAATATAAAAGATGAGATAAATACAGAGATGATGACCAATAGAGGAAGCTAAGCTGCCGTGTTCCCCAAGGTGCGATTCTTAGAATATAGGTAGCAGCAGAATCACCTGAATTCTTACTGAAAGCAAAAATCCATGGAGACCGCCCCAGATACATGCAGTCAGACACTCTGGGGAAGGGACCTGGGACACACATTATTCTGCACTCTGAAGATAACTCTTAAACACAGGAAACTGAAAGTGATAGGCAATAGGAAGTGGTGAGAGGCAATTATGCTAAAACTGAGAATTAGATGCACAGACAGGAAGGCCAGCTATTATCTTGCTTATAAAGGCCTGATCTTTTACCAACACCTTCCTCTGGGACTCGGTCATTTACTTTGATAACTGACAGAGACCTGGCACAGTCAGAGAGAAGAGGGTTCAGAATCAGAGCCATGGGGCAGGGAGCGGAGCAAACAAGACTAACATTTGACTTAAAAACAAACACCCTGTAAAAGGGGTAGGTAAACACGCACAGCATATTTTGGTAGCAGGCACATGTGTGCATACTCAATAGCTAACTCACGTCTGACTCTTTTGCAACTCCATGGACTGTAGCCCACCAGGCTACTCTGTTCATCGGATTTTCCCAGCAAGAATTCTGGAGTGGGTTGCCATTTCCTCCTCCAGGGGATCTTCCTGACCCAAGGATCAAAACCTGCATCTCTTGCATCTCCTGCATCTCTTGCATTAGCCAGTAGGTTCTTTACCACGAGCGTGACCTGGGAAGCCCAGCACGTCCACTCCCAACAATTTAGTCACCAGGTTTCCCCCACATGGAAGGCTGCCTACTCCTGGCCAGTTTTCAGCTTTCAAATCTTATTTGAAATCAGGTGACATTTCTGCAGCGAAGAGAAGGGAGTCTTACTTGAAGGGTGGAGGTAGATAATGTCTTTCACGGTGAAGTCCCGGGACTGGGCGGCTTTCAGACAGTCAGCCAGCAGACTGAGGAGCAGCAGCCAGGCCAGGGCGGGGCCGGCTTCCATGGCAGACCGAGGCTTCACTCATCCAGGGGACCTGGGAGCGGGGACTCCAGATGATGAAAGAGGATTTGCACCTGAAATACGAAGCCAGAGTCATCTCAGTGTCTAAATGGGGAAAGTCACAGAGACTCGGCCCAGCTTCTACTGGCAGGATGAGCTGGGGAGAAACAGGGAGCCCAGGGCACAAGGATGTGGGTAGACAGGGAGAGAAACTTTATAGACTGTAATTTTAGAGCACTTAGAAAATTTCAACCCAAATCCATTCTTAATTAGGTTGCTAAAGCTCCGCTGCTAGCAGTCCCTTCTAATATCCAGCAGAGATGGTATCAAGAGAGATTGAATTTTAATGAAATCCAGCTATTTTTGCCAGGAGGCCAGGGGATGGCTGCCAGAATCGACAATAAATAAGTCAGGTGCAGAAGCTCAGAAGCATTTCTTTGATAACAGCAAACGCCAGGGATGAGAGTACAGCCGTACTGGGTCATGCTGCCCATACAAACCTGTACAGGCTAGACTTTCAGATTAGAGGAGAAAAAAGATACAGAGGTAAATTGGCCTCCCCAATGAACCAAAATGTGTCTTTATAGCTCAAAATCTCCTTCACATAACGAACATTATTGGCTGCTTACTGTTGAAGTCCTTAGTATGTATCAGCTGGTTCTCCTCATAACCCTATGAAATAGGCACTGTTACCATCCCACTGTGAGGTAACAAGTCCAGCAAATACATAGCGGAGTTGATTTAAACCCTGGCAGTCTGGTAAAGAACCTGCCTGCAAAGGCAGGAGACATATGATACCTAGATTGGATCCCTGGGTCAGAAAGATCTCCTGAAGGAAGGCATGGCAACCCACTCCAACATTCATGCTGGGAAAATCCCACCAACAGAAGAGCCTGGTGGGTTACAGTCCACAGGGTCACAAAGAGTCGGACACGACTGAAGCGACTGAGCGCATGCCCAGTCTGGCCATTGAGACCACATTTAAAACTAGGTGATACTGTGTTCTTCCAAAGACTGATTCATGGTGTATAACAAAACCTGAGAAAATGAGATCAATGTGTTACTGTAACACTAAGCTATCATCATTCTATCCTTTATTTGGACTCTATTCTTTTCAATTAAATTGATGGCAGTAAAATCAATCTTTACTTACTTAGAATACCATCATTTGAGCACCCATGCAGTGGGTCAAGTTAGATATTCACTTTATTTTAAACTGGCTAAAAAAATAATTTGGACATTTTGTTTATGAATTCTGATACAAATATTCAATGACATTTTTAAAGCAGCATAACAAAATAATCCTAAAGTTATTCTGCCAAAACAAACAGAAAACAAGAGTAAATATATTACAAATCAAAATCAATAAAAAAATCAATATGGATTTATCAGATATTAGAACACAGTACAGAGTAATATTAGTCAGAACAGAATGAGAGAAAGCATAAAAATGAATTCAGAAAAATAGAACACTCTAGGGAGCTCAGACATAGAACTATTTTTCAAAATCACAGAATAGGAAAATATTATATAATAGTACAATAACTTTATTAAAAACTGTGAAAAAGATGAACTGACACCCAACAGTGCATGATACACTCAAATTAACTTCAAATGGATTGGTGTGTTATTTTGTTTTAAATAGATGAATTGCTAGAAAAGGGAGTAGAACCCTTATCACCATGTAACAGCCTGATGATGCTAGCCTTGCCAATTTCACACTCACTACACCCTCTTCCATTTATAATTTGGTTCCCCCAAACAGGTTTCCATTCAGAAAGGGAAGGAGAGGCTCATTCACTTCATAATGCGACTGCCAGGCACTGTGACTAGGCACTTGGTTAAATAGTGTGATGAGAAAACAAGTATCAAGGATTTCTTTCCCTCCATGAGTGACAGACACAAACGTTATCTCATAGTAAACGGAGGTAAGAGTACTTCCGTCCGTGTACATGCTCTAGGTCGGGTGAGACAGCATCTGAGGGACAGATTCGCACAGCGCCCCCTGGACCCCCAGAAGGAATCGCACTGACACCAGTCTCACAATCTGGGCTCAGTTCGAGAGGGATGGTGAGGAAAGCTTTCTGGTTTTATTTTGAATAATTTAACATTAAATATCAACTAGTTGTCAATCTTAAGTTCTTTTTAATCTGAAACTTGATGTCAACACATACCAAACATTGCAAGTGGCTCATTTTCATTAAAGCATCTTTCAACCACAGTATTCCTTCCAGTTATTGATTTGAATTGTCTCCGTCTGCACAATCCTTGCATAAGCATCAAGCATTATTTAATGTCATCTAAAATTAACCTTACTTCAACCTCTTTGGCATGGCTACCCAGCCAAGAGCCTTCATTTCACAGCTTGCATTGATCATGCGGGAGTAACACATAGAGGGGAAGAGTGAGACGCCTGAATTTGAAACCTTACTCCAGTACTCTCTTGCTGTGCAACCTTAAGCGAGTTACTTAACAACTCTGTGCTCCAATTTCCTCATCTGCAAAATGAGGATAATACTGCCAACCTTAAAACTGTACTGTGCTGGCTCAGTGATAAGGAATCTGCCTGCCAGTGTAGGAGACATGGTTTGATCCCTGGTCCAGGAAGATTCCCACATACCATGGAGCAACTAAGCCCCCACCCACAACTCATGAGCCTGTGCTCTAGAGCCCAGGAGCACGAACTATGGAGTCCATGTGCCGAAACTATTGACACCCGTGCTCTCTAGAGTCCCTGTTGCACATCAAGAGAAGCCACCTCAGTGAGAAACCAGAGCACCGCAACTAGAGAGCAGCCCCCCTCCCTGCAACTAGAGAAAAGCCCGCACATCGACAAAGACCCAGCACAGTCAAAAATAAATAAATAAATACAATTATATTAAAAAGTGTACTACGAGTTGTCCTTTGAGAACAGACTTGGGTTTGCCAAGGGGGAGAGGGTCCTGGGAGGGATGGAGTGGGATGCTGGGGTTAGCAGACGTAAACTATTATATATAGAAAGGATAGAACAGCAAGAATGGGAGGAACAAACCCAAGACAATGAGGGTAAAGGAAAAAGAGAGAACAGGAGGGAGAAATAGACAGAGGTTAAGACAAAGCTAGAAAATATAAAGCAAAGTGATCCTATGTTACTATGCTGCTCACCACTTTATAACAAGCCACAAAGAGATGATTCCAAGGAGCAGCTACACTCAGTGTGGTCCATGGAGGAAGAAGGGAAGGAGAGTTTATCTGCCTGGTGCCGTTCTGTCTCTTGTCTCCCATTGATCAAGTTTCACTCCACAAAGAACTCACTCCTCGACATTTCAGCAGTCAGAGTGGAGGGTCAACCCCATGTGGATGCACCTCTGACCAAGAAAGAGAAAGAAGGCACCAGCCACAGGAATCTAAGATAACACTCAAGGTTTGTCCCAAGTGCATGTGGTATTAATCCTTGTAAATGCCACAAGCTTTTGTTTCAGGGTTTGTTATTTTTATTTTATTTAAAATTTTTTTCTATTGAGATGAAATTCATATCACATAAGACTCATCATTTAAAAACAATACAATTTAGTGGGGGCTGTTAGTATGTTCATAGTATTGGGCAACCATCATCTAGTCTAGAATGTTTCCATCACCCCTGAAAGAAATATTGCACCCATTAGCAGTCATTCCCAATTCTCTCCTCTCCCCACTCCCTGGCAACTACTAAGCTACTTTCTATCACTATGGATTTGCTTATTGGGAACATTTCATGTAAATGGAATCATACAAGATATAGTCTTTTGTATATGGCTTCTTTCACCTAGTATAATGTTTCCAAGGTTCATCCATGTTGTAATATGAATCAGTACATGATTCGTTTTTATCGCTGAGTAACATTTCACTGTTATACTACTCATCATTTGATAGACATTCAGGTGTTTTCCACTTCTGGTCTATTTGTGACTAATGCTATCATTAACATTCATGTACATTTTTTGTATAAACATGTTTTTATTTTTCTTGGATATATACTTAAGAGTGGAACTGCTAGATCTTATGGTAACTGTGTTTAACCTTTTGAGGAACTGCCAAACGATTTTCCACTATGACTACACTATTTTACATTCCCATCAGTAAAATTTCTCTGCTTCTTCACTAACATCTACTTTCACCAAAACATTTTATTATAGCCACGTTAGTGAGTGTAAAGTGTACTGTGGCTTTGAGTTCCATTTCCCAAATGACTACTGAGTTAAACATATTTTCATGTGCTTACTGGTCATTTGCATATCTTCTTTGGCGTAATATTTATTCAAACACTTCGCACACTTTAAATTGAGTTATCTTTTTATTACTGAGTTATAAGAGTTCTTTCTATATGCTAGACTCTGGACCCTTCTCAGATATATGATATGCAACTGTTTTCTCCCTTTCTCTGTGTTGACTTTTCAGTTTCTTGATGACATATTTTGATAAGCAAATTTTTAAATTTTGATAAAGACCACACATTGCTTTTTATAAACAGAGATTGTGTTCCCTTACACAAGTCAAGTGCAGCACAGTGCAACACACAAAAAAAGATGTGTGTATACAATGCACAGTAAAAGAGCTCATCTACTTTATAGTAGCCAGAGCTATTTTTCCACCTCTTTTTTCCATGAGAAAACAGGATGGGCAGGACTATTTATTAATATCACCAGCTGCTTACATTTCTGCAATAAATCTTGAAGCACTCACTCTATTAGTATTTTCTAGGAGACGAAAAGTGAAAGATGAGCAGCAGGCATTCACAATTAGTCTAACTGCTACTGAAATATGGGCTCTGATGACAGGGATGTATCTTTTCTATTCAGATTCTCAGTAGTTGATGGAGCTCTAATCCCTTCACCCCACAAACACCCTGCTGGACATACTCAGTGATATGAAAGGTCATTTCTAGAACTTTGATGTTTTTCCCTAGAGTCCACTGTGTCTTTGGAATGTTCTAGAGATTTAGAAAAGATGTTGTATTTCCATTTTGTGCACTGCTATTTGAATAT